CCATCGTCATAGATACATGCTCCAAAATATTGTATTTGCCTTGTGGCCTGAATGATGTTGCCACGGATTTCGCAAGCGTATATTGCAACCTTTTTGAAGCATTTGAAATTCATTACAATACAATGTCATGCAAATGTTTTCCCCTGCCTCCGCGATCGCGTCCACGACTTGCTGCAGATAGTGTTCGTGCTGACCCACCAAAAGAGCATCATCGGCAAATAAAAGAATCGACGTGTCACCATTGTTCAAAAACCGTCGCGTGTCTTCTTCCTATTTGTCCTGTGCACGTTTAATTAGGACGCTCATTACCATTACAAACAAAAAGGGAGATAACGGACACCTTTGGGCAGTCTTAGACAATCAGTTCCGTTCACTGGACCGTTTCGACCCTTCTGTTACGCAGAAGTTTGTTTTCGTACATGCGTGCTGCCAACAAGACTAGCATGCTACCGGGCACTCCAAATTTCCCCAGAGCTTCCAAAAGAGCCAAACTATTGATGAAATCGAATGTTTTTCCATTCCAAGGCCAGTAGGGCGAGTTTGCCATCTCGCAGAACATGTGATGTTTCAGTATGCCGGCGTATTGCGTGAATAGCATCCGTCGTCCCCCGTTTCTTCTGAAACCAAATGGGGTTGTGGTGAATCGTTCTTCTGCCCCTGCTCGCTGGAGTCTGCTGCAGCGAACTCGCAAGAATTTCGTACACAACGCATAGCAGACTGATTGGGCGGTAATTGTCGCATTGGCCAACTTGACTTCTACGATTATAGATTTTAGAAACAATTGCATGTCGCCATTTTGATTGGACTCGCTCATTATTCCAGCATGTGTTCACCATATGCGTAATCCATTGTAATCCTTGGGGGTCGGATGCCAAAGCTTTCCAATACTCCGCTGGTATGTCATCTCTTCCATTGTATTTCCACGTTTCAGCTTTGAGATTACAGATCCAACCTTTGCATTGGTGAAGTCATTATCTCCGGCGTGCAGGGGGGAGTCCGAGGGAGCCCGTATTCACAATCGTCGTTGGGCGCATTCGCCATTGAATTTGTTCAAAAAAAATCTAAACGCTTCGCGTATCCCCACCAGCCCATCCAGAAACAATGCCAGGCGAGTTGAGAGGTGATCACGGAAGTGCGGGAGCAAAGAGGGGGACGGCCGAACCTTGTGAAGGAGAGAGGGGGCGAAGGAGAAAATTGTTGACGCTTCGCGATTCCCCACCATTTCCGTAGCCCCCTGGCTCAAGCCCTGGCTCAAGCCGTCACGGCTCGAGCCCGCCCCTGGTCCAGGTTCGCGCCGGGCCCGCCCCGTCGCGATGGCTTCCGGCGGCGGCGGCCCCTCTGGCGCCACCCTGCGGCGGCGGCAGCGCCTTGCCGCCGCCGCCCGCGACGGGCCGCCCCGCCTGGGTCTTCCGCCTGCCGCTGCTGCGGCTGCTGCTGCAGCCGACGCCGCCTCCCCCTTGGAGGCCGGCGCGCGGGAGGCGGCGGCGGCTGGCGGCGGCGGCGGCCAGCCCAGCTCGGCCCCCGTTGCCGCTTTGATGAACGCGAAGCAGTAAGTATTTATAAATGGTTATAGTGATGCTATGTTAGACTCCTATAAGAGGATTTAGGATAGGTTAGGATGCTAGTTAGGATTCTATAGGGTGGCTTTAGCTTTAGTGACGATTCGGTCCATTATTTTTCCTATAGGGGCTATAGGCTCCTATCATCAGCGATAGTTGCGAAGCCTAAAGCTAATTATTCCCTACCTAGGCTCTGCCTAGAAGGGTTCTTACTCTCTTAGCTTAAAGGGGCCGGGCAGTGTAACACGCCCCGGGCGGCCCCCCCGGCCCCCGCCCCCCGCCCCGCGGTTCCCCCAGTTGCGCCCCCTGGGTTCACCCAGCTTAGCTTAGCTTCAGCTTAGCTTTAGCTTAGCTTTAGCTTAGCTTTAGCTTAGTTTTGGCTTAGCTTTAGCTTAGCTTCAGCTTAGCTTTAGCTTAGCTTTCAGCTTAGCTGTAACTTCGCTTTAGCTTAGCTTCCGCTTAGCTTCAGCTTAGCTCTGGCTTAGCTCTAGCTCAGCTTCAGCTCTGCTTCAGCTTAGCTTCAGCTTAGCTCCAGCTTAGCTTTAGCTTAGCTCTAGCTTAGCTTCAGCTTAGCTTCAGCTTAGCTTTAGCTTAGCTCTAGCTTAGCGTTAGCTTAGCTTCAGCTTAGCTTTAGCTTAGCTCTAGCTTTAGCTTCTGCTTAGCTTTAGCTTAGCTTTAGCTTAGCTTTAGCTTAGCTTTAGCTTAGCTCCAGCTTAGCTTCAGCTTAGCTTTAGCTTAGCCCCAGCTTAGCTTTAGCTTAGCTTCAGCTTAGATTTAGCTTAGCTCTAGCTTAGCGTCAGTTTAGCTTTAGCTTAGCTTCAGCTTAGCTTCAGCTTAGCATTAGCTTAGCTTCAGCTTAGCTCCAGCTTAGCTTTAGCTTAGCTCTAGCTTAGCGTTAGCTTAGTTTCAGCTTAGCTTTAGCTTAGCTGCAGCTTAGCTTT